CCCCTCTGGGAATACTCTCCATCACCTCATCTAACTCACTCCAGAATCTCTCCTTCTCTTCTAACTCACACCCTACTTGTGGAGCATAACCACTGACTACATTCAACATTACCCCTTCAATTTCCAACTTCAAACTGATCACCCTGTCCGACACTCTTTTCACCTCTAAAACATTCCTCACGAGCTCCTCCTTCAGGATCACTCCTACCCCATTTCTCTTCCTGTCCACACGATAATAAAACAGTTTGTATCCCCCTCCAATGTTACGCGCTTTGCTACCCTTCCACCTGGTCTCCTGCACACACAGTATATCTACCTTCCTTCTCTCCATCATGTCCGCCAGCTCTCTACCTTTCCCCTGTCATTGTGCCAATGTTTAGAGTCGCTATTCTCAGACCTATACTCCTGCCTTTCCTCTTCTCTCTCTGTCTACGAACCCTTCTGCCTCCTCTCCTTCTTCGACCAACAGTAGTCCAATTTCCACCATCACCCTGTAGGTCAACAGCACTGGTGGCAGTCTTTGTTAACCCGGGCCTCAACTGATACAGTATGGAATTCGCACTGATGATTCGCATGTTTAAATTTGGTATGTTTTTACGCCGGATGCCCTTCCTGACGCAACCCTCTCTATTTATCCAGGCTTGGGACCGGCACAGAAGTCACTGGCTTGTAACCCCTGTGGCTAGATTAAAAAAACACATGTTGTGTGTCTGTTAATGCCTGGTTTCTGTAACATTAGAGAGAATTGTTGTAAGGCCAGAGAAGTTACTATGTCTGCATTATGCCAGTTAAAATATGGGGTTTCTCAGCTACCCCCTTTGTTTAGAGTGTTACACATCTCTTTTCATTGGTTCATATAGAACTGTTTACCTATCTATGAAGGAGAAATTCAAATGAATTAATGCTGTCATGATTTGTTGTGCTGTCCGCTTGTGTGACAACACTGGCAGCAGGAGGTGTATGCGTTCACGAACTGTCCTCTTGCTTTTAGGAAGAGGCTCTCTGGTTTTATTATTCTGAAATAATTACGGACTATTTGGAGTTATGAGGGGTGCCAAGCTAATCTAGAGGTACCCAAGATTAAACAAATGGCTGGAAATGAGCAGAATGAGCAGGCCATGGGCTCTTTAATACAGATGTGAGTTGATAATGAAAAATGAAATGAGCTGATGGGTTTCTAACCTGTTAACACCTGTTGTCTGCTGTGTGTCCAGCTCCTGTTGGAGCACTTGGAGTGCCTGGTTTCTCGCCATGAGCGCAGTCTGAGGATGACAGTGGTGAAGAGACAGGCTCAGTCTCCAGCTGGCGTCTCAAGTGAAGTTGAGGTCCTCAAAGCTCTTAAGTCACTTTTTGAACACCACAAAGCCCTCGATGAGAAGGTACGACTGTGTTTGAGTGTTCAGAAGGACTCCACGAATTATGTGTTGATGTGCATTACAGGTGTTTGACATGGCACAGCAGTGGGAGAGAGACAAAAGAGATTTATGAACTTGGTTCATGTTTTCTAGGTAAGAGAGCGACTACGTGTTGCCTTGGAAAGATGCAGTGCACTTGAGGAACAGCTCACCATCTCGCACAAAGAAGTAAGCTACATAAGTCTCCACTCAGTCTGAATACAGTTTTTCCCAGTTCATCAATTTAAATTGATTACCATGCCAGTCATGTTTTATTCTCAGCTTTTTCATGCTTAGTAGATGTTAAGCTGAAGTTCTGTGACTTGAATAGTAGTTGTGCCCTGGTTGGGAAGCTCTGCACAGTAGGGCCTAGTTGTCCTTATCCTTTCATTCTTCACTGAGCTTTTCATATTTAAATTGGAGAGTCAAGTGTTCAGTTTATTTAGATTGCAGAGCTTCACAGCAGTCAAAAGTGATAGCATATTAGTTATCATACTATGTTATGCCTGGGTCAGACGACAGTCTCTGATCCCAAAAAAACAGCCTGACCCAACAGTCGTAGGGCATCTGCACTGACCAACACTGTTGGACACAATGATTGATTGTTTTATCTTGTATAGTGGGTCATAGCAAACGACAACGATGCCTCATCTGGGGACCCCCCCCTTCCGCCACACACACACTAGCTAGAGCTAGTTTTTGGTTTCACTACCAGCTTAAAACACTTATTTTTAACCGCTACCTCAAGTTATCTGTTAAGGGGTGGGCACGCAGGCTGCTGCACTCTTCATGCGATCCATTGACAGGTCCACAGTCATTTCCATCCCGCCCACCCTTTCCTATGCTTTTCCAAACACAAGCAGCCAGTATCTCACACACTCTTCTTCCAGCCCCATGGCACCTCCAAATCATGAACAATGACAGGCTGTGATCTGTTGGGTACCAACGTGTAGTCCGTCATATCTCTCGTCAAAGAATGTATGACTCTAATTGTCTAATCTGACATAGTGTTGTTTTATCCCATGTAATGATTTTATTTAACTTCTATTTGTTTGCGATTTTATTTTTGTGTATGTGAAATACTTTGGCCAACAGGATGTTTTTAAAGTGATTATAGAAATAAATTTGATTTGATTTGATCGTGACCATGATATCGGACAAAAAATTGCCGTCTGAACCGGGCATTAGTGAAATGCAGCATCCATAACTGAGGCTACAACTGATGTTGGAATAACTGCTCTATGCCTTCAGTGTTTCAGATCAGATCAAGCTGTGACAGTCAGCCATTGCTATGCCATCATTTTGTACTAGATCTGTTACAGTTTTACAATAGGTGATGCTGGCTAAAAATGGCAACCTTTTGAAAACAGATGTGATAACAGATCAACTTGGCATTGTTCCCGAATTGTCGTTTTGTGCATCTGACCTGCTTGGAGACAGCTCTCCTCTGTTGCTTTTCTGTTTATATGTTGTTTGTTCTGAATCCAATAAAGAGACTCTTAAATGCACAAATGCATGCAAACGCATGAAGTGTATTCAGTCCACTGTGTACTGAATGGGATTAACATTGACAAAAGACCTGGAGGATCTTGGGGTAGTGTCCTAGATTTTCTCTCTGCTTCATACAGCAACCCTCTTTTGTTCCTGGCAATCAGCCTAGGACCACACACACAAACATACGATCAGCCACTTGCCACTTTCTGCTTTTATTAGTAACCTTCTCTCTTTAGGTGAGGCAGTTTTTGGCTGTTTTTTATTTTCCTCCCATTTGGCCATTTGACATAGTGGTGGTTAGTGTATTCATGTGAGTTTGCAACTAGAATAGTTGTGGTTTGAACTCAAGGCTCTGGACACTTGGTGTTTTGAGCTGCAAACTATTCTTCTTTGTGTTTCAGTCCATATTCGTGTACATGCACACAGAGTACCCGCTTTAGGAAAAAAAATCACCAATGCTAAAAACATTAAGCAGCAAATCAGTTTAGTGCTCTCGGTTTAGTGGTTTAACCAGATGATTGTTTAGATGGTTATCACCCACAAATTAATGACTCGGCAGTGTTTAACAAACTGCTGTTTTTGCTAGTTGGCTTACCTCAGGGAGCAGAGTGGCCAGAAGAGAGGACTGGCAGATGGAACCAGTGAGATCAGCCACAGCTCTGAAAACACGCCGAGCACTAATGGCAAGGTGAGGTTACTTGGCAGCATATGTGAAATGTGTGTGTGTGTGTGTGTGTGAGCCAAGCAGGAGTGTGTCTCAAGTATCTAGCAGCTGTTCAATTAATTCAGTTAAATCATAGAAAATTACATTAATTTAGGGCATATGTAGGTTCATGTACATGTAGGTAGTATATTGTAATGTCAGAAACTTGAACATTCTTGAGGCTCAAGCCTGGTTCTCCAAATATAGATATCTTCAAATCATAAATATCTACAGTAGATATTTTGGAGCACTTTATTCTGTTGAAAACGTATAGAAATAGTTGAAGAAGCCTAGAATATTGCATACATTTTGTTTATTTCTGTCCTGGCCTACCTGCTATGACATCTACATACATGCACAAGATGCAGATATTGGAAGAGGTGAGCAGACTGGTAACAGGTGAGGTTATTTCTGATTGCTTGTTCTGTAGTATGACTCTGCTTAAACTATCAAAACTCTGACATCAGATATTCAGTCGTTGTGGAACAGCAGGTATAGTGTTATTGTGCATCAGTTTTCTTCACTGAGTCCTACATGTGCTCCATATGTCTTGTGCGCACTTGCTAAAACAGCTAATTCGCCCACAGCGGTTGTCAGACGGTTCGTTGAGTCAGGAGGAGGAGTTAGGGCCTGGGTTTGTGAAGGTTGGTGAGCTCCAGGAAGTGGTGGATCGTCAGGCGGCTGATCTGAGCCAGATGAAGGAGCGCATGGCTGCTATGGCATCACGCATCAGTGAGCTGGAGGAGGACCTGGACACAGCCCGGAAGGACCTCATCAAGTCTGAAGACATGAACACACGGCTACAGAGAGACCTGAGAGAGGTAGGGAGGACAGGGACCAGGTTTAATGAATTAAAAGCTAGGGGAACACTTAAATACATTTCTGTGAAAGTATTTCCTTTACGCTGACCGATTTAAAAACAAAGTGTAAATGAGTGGGGGGAAAAACATTAGGGAACAAGGCTACTGTCTGTATAGTTCCTGGTTTGGTAATAGAAAACATGTTTAAGGGTATGTTAGCAAAATGTCTGTATGTTGAATTATTTTCTTTTACACATAACATGATTAAAAGTTTTATGTTCAAGGCATTTTTGTTGATTTGATGACATATGTAAACACATTCTGGTTTTATAATACAAATACACAACTCTGATAACTGCATTACCTTGATATTTAAATATAATTCTGCTTGCTTCAGTACTTTTCAGTCTGCTGGTTTCTGTGCCCACACATTAGAGATTGTTTCTGGCAGAATTAGTTCTTTGTTTCCATCTGAAGTTGCCTGAAGGTCATGGGACAGCAGGTGAGTGTCGAGGCTGGACAAAGAGTAGACACGCGTGGGTGTGTTTGTGTGTGTGTGTGTGTGTGTGTGTGTGTGTGTGTGTGTGTGTGTGTGTGTAGTCAGTGGCTCAGAAGGAGGATATGGAGGAGAGGATCACCACCTTGGAAAAGCGCTACCTAGCAGCACAGCGGGAGGCTACCTCTGTCCATGACCATAACGACAAGCTGGAGAATGAAGTGGCCAACAAGGAGTCCCTCTACAGACAAGTAGGCTCCATGGTCTTTGACTAAAACCTAAGGAAATTTGTGTGTGGTCACCAGTTAGGGTTGTCAGTTACTGAAGCTAGCATCTGCTTGTCTGTGATTTGTTTCCAGTCTTTAGAAGCAAGTTTGACATGAGACTTGAATCAAATGTTAAAATTCCCATCAATTCAGTTCATCCCTAACCCCTACACACACCCACACATTATAATCTGATTCAGAGCAGATAAGGCATGTACTGACTGTGGTGTTTGAGTCTGACTTGTCTTCTAGCAGGAATCGCCTGCAGTTCTCTTTTGGCATTTTCCAGCCTCCTGCTAATGAATCCCTGCTGTATTCACACACTGGCCAGAACAGCAGGCACTGAATGGAAAGCCTTGAGGACACTGGCTTGTTTCTTTAAATGCACTCACTGAGAAGGAGATGTTTCTCTTCTCTTTTCTCATGGGTTTTGTCTTTTTGTGTCATTATGAATGCTGTCTTCCTCACTTCCTGCCCACCCCATCCTGACCCCTCCCCTCTTTTTGTCTCTCTTTGTTTCCCTTTTTCTCTATTTGCTACAGTTTTGTTTTGTGCCACTCTCTTCACATTGTGGAAGTGAAAGTAAGCCCAGAGTCCATGATGTAGCACTGCTTGCTCATGACCGTTTTCCTTTGGTTTGTTTGTTGTAGACTGAGGAAAGAAACCGGCAGCTCCAGGAGAAGCTGGAGCTGGCTGAGCAGAAGCTGCAGCAGACCATCCGCAAGGCAGAGACTCTGCCTGAGGTGGAAGCAGAGCTAGCTCAGCGGGTAGCTGCTCTCACAAAGGTACCAGCACCTGTCCACTGCCCCATGCACCTGTCAGTCTGCCCCTTTTTCTATGATGGATTTGATATTTCATGATATACCTAAACTTTAAAAATCCCAGACCCATGACTGAGTAATCCACTAATGTATCTGTTGTGGGAAAAATGGTGGAAATTGCAGAAAATATAAACTGACTAAAAATTGCATTACTTGTAATTATGATCCTGACTAAATGCAGGTGACGGCACACATCATGTGACCAGGGCTGTGAGATCAGTTCCTTTACATTGCAATAAGGACGAGCTGACTGAGGAAGCCGTTGTTTATGTTACTACAAATATCCACAGGGTCCTATTTTTAGAGACTTGGCTCGTTTTAACCCAGGCC